CCTGCGAGCCTCAGTCTGGAGCCCCGGGCTCCGAGACTTGCTGCCACAGGGGAGTTTTGCCATGGAGCCATCCCCTATAGACCAGAATGGGAGGCAGCTGGGCACAGCCGCACCCTGTGAGTCCCAATGGGCTCCCAAAGGCCAGGGCGATGCTGGAAGCTTTTGCCAGCATGCTCATGTCAGCTGGGGGTGTTTTTTTCATGGCATTTTTATGCCGTGTAGACGCAGCGATATTGGCAAACGCTCCTTCTGGCTGGTGTAAGCTGGCTCTCCAGCCTGACAACCCCCTTTGACCATAGCCTCAGCCAGCTTGGCCAGGGTTGTGGTGGTATGGAAGGAGCTGTTGGCTGCTCTACAGGATTCGCTGTCGTTCACTTCCCAGACTTGGTTCCCGCTTGCGTTGCTAGCTGCAGTGCTAACAAACTCCAACCCGTTCTCTGCTGGAGCCCCTGGGAGACACGCTATGCAAATAATTCAGTCTGTAGGAATTTTGTCTTCTACGCACACTCACACTCACTGTCCCCCATATGTGTATTCCCCCCCAACTCCCGCCCCACATGCTGTGTTTATTACGTGTATAGCAGTAGCTCCCAGGAGCCCCAGTCATGGCCCAGGACCCCACTGTGCCAGGCGCTGCACAAACCTGGAACAAAGAGATCGTCCCTGCCCCAAGGAGCTGACAAGCTAAGGATAAGACAAGAGACAGCCGTGGACACAGACAGATGGAGAGTACAAGGAAACAATGCAAGAACCTTGTCTAATAGGCAAGGCAGACACAGGGTGGGGGAAGGGGTAGAACTCACCAGCAGAGTGATGGGTGATGGCAGCAAACAGCATGTTCGCACCATGGTTTATTTTTTGGGTGGGATCAGCTAACTGGACAGAAAAGTGAAGGGGAGAGGGAGGGAGGGGGCTAAGAGGGGTAGGTGTGGAACGAAGCTCAGGTGAAGAGACTGAGGAGGGGAAGGGTGGAGCAAACGAGGATCAGCCCAGGGCAGAGCAAGCCAGAGCATGGTGTCATAGAAATTTCTGTCCGTTCTAGCTGAGGAATAAGGAGAAACAGACACAGCTAATCAAGCAAGGAGCCCCGGGAGGGGCGATCCGTTTATTTCAATTGCAATTGGGTTCGAGCTCATAAGTCAGCAAGAACAAAGAAAACACTTACATCAAAGCATTGTATGCAGTTGCTTATGATAATCTATCGCTCTATGATTGGCCAAAATTTGCCATCATTACCATACATAATTAGCAAGCTACATGTATCTGCCCCTCTTATGACCCCTTATTGTTCATCTATTTGCCCCCTCCTCCTTGCTTATTTTGCAAACTAAGTGGTTAGCTATCTACAGGACGCAGGCACAGAAAGGTCCATTGTCTCCAGGTTTGGAGTTTGGCTACATTTCCTCTTGAAGGAACTTCCTGACTACCTATAGCTGACCCTGCATTTTGTCCTTCTTCTTTCTCCCATGTGTATGTGACAAATTTGCCCCCTGGCAGTTAAGTAGAATAATTTTATATCAATTTTCCCCTTTGATCATGACCCATATAATGGGCTCATGATCACACTTTTCACAGCAGTAGGAGTGTTACAGCAAATATGTAGGGGTCAGAATATCAGCATCTGGCATCGTTTCCGCCTTTGCCAAAACCCATCTTTCTTGTAAAGAGAGAAATATCCCCTTCGATTTGCTAGTTGTCCTAGCACATTTAGACATTATTCACATGGACAGTTTAAACACACACACAAAAAATAAACACAATCATCAGTAAAATCATAACACCTCCTTTCAGGAGTCCCTTTAACCAGCCTGTTAAGGAAGGGAACCAGGAAAATAAACCATCAAACCAATCATTTGTCCAGCTACCTTCAGCAGACCTGTCTCGGGCAATGTCTCTTAAGTGGGCTGCTCTGTCAAAGGTATCTTTATAGGTGTCATTCACAAATACACAACACTCTTGGCCTATGATGGTACAAGTTCCTCCTTGAGCTGCCAAAAAAAAATATCTAAAGCCATATGATTTTGTAAAGCTAACTGTCTAAGTTGCTTAAGCTCAGTGGCTTGACTTGTAACTATTGTAGCAGTTTCATTAGCCATAATTTATAAAATACCCTGGAGTCTTCTCCTAAGTCTGCGATTATTAGGGAATGTTGTCCATGTCATTGGTTCAAGGGCTGCATCCTCTTCAGCTTGAGGTTTGCTAGTGTCCCTTACATTTCTAATCTTGCCTTTATGTAATTGCTTCACAATACGAGTGGGGGTAACAACCAGGCAAGATAACAAGAACCTGAGAAGTGTACTGGAAGGGTATGATAGGCTTTATTTCCACACACCCAGTAAGAACCAAACCCTGCTGGAACAGGGCCGGGAGGAGTATCCCATGTCACTCCCAACGCTTTTTGTAACAGGGATGTATAACGTCCCATAAACCCAATAGGCCCGTGCTTCGAGGAGATGTCTCCGTCTCTACATTTCTGCCTGCATACAGACATTGTCCATTGGAGTTTTCCCATACCATAGTGCAGCTTTCATAGCAGACACTATTGGCGCAGGCACCCTTGTGGTTAATGTCGTCAGTGGTGTCAAAACAATAAACGAGGGGAGTGACCCACTCTCCATCACCACCCGGGCCCACATAGTATTTGCAAGTACTGTTCCCTAAAAACAGGCCTAGCCCATTTCCCAGGAGACATCACTCACCCTGCGCCTTGAAGGTTAACAAATACCCGGAGTTAGGGTTTATACCTTCTTGTTGCCAGGTATGAGTCGTAGCCTGATGGGGAGTAACATACACCTATGAATGAGTAATATCTGCAGCCATCAAAGGGATAGGAAGGAAAGAAAGTCCTCATTCCGCATCGGGAGGCACCAAGGTGCACACCCAGCATGAGTCATTCCTCCATTCTGGGATTCTATTCCTCCCCACATGGCTAAATTTAATGAAATTATTATGGTCATAAGAAAGGGAAGGGGAAAACAACAAAATCAACACAGGAAACATTTTCACAAAAGGTTAAAATACCAACATATAAAAGAAAAAAGAGCAATAAACGCTAATCCAAATAATACAGTCCAATCTTCTATATCCATCGAAAACTGATATCAGTCGTTTAGGGCCTTGGCTGCCCTGTAGTCATCTACTTCGGGTTGGCCTTGCCGGTTGGCCAACAAGCGTCGCTCCCACGCTGGGGACCTTATCTGGGGTTCCCTTTCGAGTGAATTTAAGTTTCAGTCCAGGCAAGGTCTACACCATCCACTGATCCTCTAGTCAATCTTTCATTAGTGAAAGATTGGGTATTTCGTTAATTTAGAAGGAGAGTAACAGCATGTGGAACTTTTACCACTAGGTGATGTCTCTGTACCAACTCTTGAGCTTTCTCAACTAACAAAGCTGCAGCAGCTAGGGCTTTAAGACAGTCTACTGCTTCTCTTGCAACAGGATTCAGTAGTGCTAAAAAATAGGCCACAGGCTGTTGCTGTGATCCTAAAGCTTGCATAAGAACACCAGAGGCCACTCCCGCCCTTTCATGAACAAATAAGGTAAAAGGTTTCCTAGAATCCGGGAATCCCAAGGCAGGTGCCGATGCAA